ACTTTTTATGCTAGCAGCATTCGTCTTTTCAAAACACTTCACATCAGAGGTATTATTTATGGCAGCAGAGAGCCATTTCTGTTGCTGCTATTGTTAAACAACTGGGAGTCAGAAACATTTGCTGATCCATGGCACATCACATGGAAAATCAGCAGTAGATCTGAGTAAATAATTAGGCCCACCCTTGGATTACAGTATATTCTAGCGTATAAGACTACTTTTTAACCCAAGAAAATCTTCTCAAAAGTCAGGGGTCGTCTTATACGTGGGTGTAGTTTTATGCATGGGAGTCGTCTTAACTCTATATTTTAACTGGAAAAGTTGGGGGTCGTCTTATACGCCCAGTCGTCTTATATGCCGGAATATACGGTATTCTACATCATTGTTTGGGAAAGTCACCTTTTTATTGCAGTGATCAGAAGCGGGGAATTCAGACAGCAGTTATCCAAAAAAAAAATTGCTATGCCCTGCTGTATACCAACTGGTAGCAGCTCTTCTGCAAGCAGAGTTGTTTTTCTTCCTTCTTGCTGGTCACACAGTCTCCTCTGCTAATGTCAGTACAGGGCCAATTGTGATGGCCAGGATGGAGCTCTGAAGCAGTGGTGACATGGGCATGATGACAGCAGAGATGGATTGGTTGGAATTCGACTCAGTCCATCTTTCTACTACTACTTCTACTTGTGGGAGTTGAAGTCCAAAACACTTGGAAGGCCAAAGTTTGTCTGTGCCTGCTCCAGGGCTTGCTAGAAGCTCCAGTAGACTCTGGAATTTCTAGCAAGCTCTGAAGCAGGCATGGGCAAACTTTGGCCCTCCAGGTGTTTTGGACTTCAACTCCCACAATTCCTAACAGCCAGTAGCCTGCTCTGGAGTATCCCATCTTTGACCAAAGAGTGACAAAGTCAGTTTATTATGTGTTATTTATTTACTTTACTCTTATCTCGCCTTACTCCCCATAGGGATTTAAAGTGGCTAAAGATTACATGACTTCATACAATAGAACTTAAGAACAGGTTTAACCCCCAAAACCCCACAATACTCACCAGAACTCAGTGAAAGTCATGAGGGCAGCCAGCAGTAGATTTGATGTGTGTCCTGGTGTTCTTGTGTTGACTCACCCTAAAATTAGAGATGACAAGGATTGAATCTGAGACATTCTGAATGGAGATTACAAACTCAGTATCCTCCAGCCAACATGCACCATTGGCCATATTCACTATGGGATTTGAGGAATTGTTTTCCAAATAAAGGTATATTTCCCAAGCTGTGCTACTTCTAAGCTTTGTTTGGGTAATCCATGATGGGTTGTAACTTCCAATATCGTACCCTCAATCTATGTACCTATCTGAGGGAGCAAGACTTTTTCTGCTAACACTGTTTACCTTTTCAAAATACAGTGGCCTAGGAAACTATTCCTGATCAAATGGGGATTTTGTAAGCACCAGGCAAGACGTGTTTCCTCTGTGATTAAAGGGCAGATCATACTAGCAGAATGATCCTTCAAACTGGAAAGGTGGAGGTTTCTTTTGGAACAGTTATTTGTCCTTCAGGTTTTGCCCTTGGTCCTCATGCAGGTCTCTCCAATTTCCCTAAAGCAGGGCAGTGTTCCAAAAAGCCTATGAGCAATATTAATGATGTGGGCTAGGAACAGCTGTGCTATTCCTTCTCCAGATAACCTTCAATCAGTGGCCGCCTTGTTTTTCCCTCAGCATCACCCATTAAGGCTGGTCAAATTGGGGTCAGGTGCATTGGCTTGATAGGTGAGATTCCCTGAGCCTCCATATGCCATTCACCTGTCCCAGGTAAAACATACATTTTCTTTACCTATACATTCCCAACAATATGCAGGGCTTGGATTAACATGCTATTTCATTATTTATGAATACCATTCTGGAATTCATATAAATCCAACAATCCCACTACAAATCCCTTTCTGGGAGAAAGGCAGAAAATAGATCCAATCTATCAATATTTATTAAAATATTTGTTTGTTGTTGTGTACCTTCAAGTCAAGCATTGGGTTCAAATTACAGGAAAATAGATTCAACCTGAACTTTCAGAACAACTTCCTGACTGTATGAGCTGTTCAACAGTGGAACTCACTACTGCAGAATGTGATGGAGGTTCTTTTTCTGGAACCTTTTAAGCAGAGGCCAAATGGCCATCTGTCAGAGATGCTTTGATTGTGCTTTTCCTGCATAGCAGGAGGTTGGACTAGATGGCCCATGTGGTCTCTTCCAATTCTATGATTTTATATGGTGACTCTAAGGCACAGAAGCAAAAGAGACCCATTGCACCACGGTAGGTGACAGAAACATTGTGGGATGAGGAACTATTGACAGATTATTTTTTTTTGCATCAATAGCTAGGGACAGGAGAAATCTTGGGTAGGAAGAAAACTGGCAGTGGGATTCTGGTTTGCCTGGTTCATATGATAACATCTGTCATCTAGAGTTAAATAGATCTGCAACTTCCATACTTTCTGTTTGACTATGTTATGCATTCATTATCATGGTACTTACTGTAACAATCATAACTGCTCCCTGAAGCCCACCTTAAACTGCAGGAAGAACCTTTGAGTGATGGAAGTCAGCACTGTGGTGAAATGGGGCACTTCAGAATAAAGCAGCCATCCCTTTCCCATTGTTCATGTCAAGCTTACGTGTTTCAGTTGACTGTGCCTTAAGGCACTTCCACTTGGAGTGGTTCCCTGAAGTTTAATGTGGATTTGGGAAGGGAGGAGGAGGAGGGGGGGGGGTAAATATTTCAGTAATTTGTAACAACATTAACATAGCTATGAATGTAATGCATCATCTTAGCATGAATTTTGAGGAAAAGCAGAGCTTTTCTTAGTCTAGCCAAGGCAGTGAAATGTATTTTGTCATTCATTAAATCACACGGACCATCCAGTCCAACCCCCTTCTGCCATGCAGGAACACACACAATCTAAGCACTCTCAACAGATGACCATCCAATCTTCCAGAGAAGGAGACTGCCACACTGAATAGCATATTTCATTGTTAAACAGCTCTTACCATCAGGAAGTTATTCCTAAAGTTTAGGTGAAATCTGTTTCCCTGCAATTTGAATCCAGTGTTCCATGCCCTAGTCTCTGCAGCTGCAGAAAACAAGCTTGCCCCTCCTTAATGTGACATCCTTTCAAATATTTAAACATGGCCATCATGTCCCCTCTTAAATTTCTCTTCTCCAAGGCAAACATATCCAGCTCCCCAAGCCACTCCGCATAGGGCTTTCTTTCAAGACATTTATTTTGGTTGCTCTTCTCTGAACACATTCCTTCTTGTCAATACCCTTCTTGAATTGTGGTACCCAAAACTGGAAACAGTATTCCAGGAGGGGTTTGACGAAGCCCAATAAAGCAGCATTATTATTTTCCTTGATTTAGACCAGTGGTTTCCAACCCGTGGTCCATGGAGCACCAGTGGTCTGCAACTTCACCATTACTACACCATTGCCTCAAAACCACATGGCAATGAGAGCAACTGGTCTCATGAAACCCTCATATAGTGTCGAGGCAACGGGGATGTCAGGAGGGGAGAGGCTGACTACCCACAAAAGATTACTACTATCACATCAGCTCTAGATTATTAAATATGGTTTTCTGTGGGCGAGCAGATAGCAACTACTCGATGGCATATGTTCTATATCAGAGAGTTTGTGTGGTCTATCCAATGCAATTTCTGAATTAGCACCCCAAATAACCAAACTGAATCTAAAGTTGACCAAAAATCTGATTCATAACCTTTTTGGTACTAATGTTGGAGGGTGGTCCCTGGTCAAAACTGTCCCTGGTTTAAAAAAGGTTGGGAACCACTGATCTAGACATTATACTCCCATTGATGCATGCTAGAATTGCACTGGCTTTTTTAGTTGCCACATCACACTTATTGGACATAATGCCAGAGCCAGCATAGTGCAGCAGTTTGAGTGTTGGACTAGAACATTGGGAGACCAAGGTTCAAATCCTTGTTTGGCCATGGAAACCTATAAAACAAATCGCATTCTCTCAGCTACAGAGGAAGGCAAAGACAACTCCCGCTTGAACAAACTGCAAGAAAACCCTTTGACAGGGTTGCTTTAGGGTTGCCATAAGTCAGAAATGACTTGAAGGCATAGCACAACACCAGTAAACCTCACTAAAGGTTAAAGCCCCAATTTACAGCTTTCAGTTACCTGACGCTGAATCCCAACTTGTCCTTCATGCTACCTCCTCAGTTATCTTGTGAAGCAGGTTTGACAAGGCTGCAAATCTGTAGTGTGACAATGATGGGTGGATGTTTATGCATTAATTTGAACAGTGAAAATGGTTCTATTTCTGAGCACTCCCCTCCTACTCCTAATGGAAAAAAATATGCTGGTGAAGAGGAGGGGGAGGGAGGAAGAGACCAGTTTTCCTATGGCATTTACATTGAGCCATAGAATAAGGGCACAAAGAATGCCCTCTTTGTAAGGGAGTCACCGTTTCTTAGCATCAGAAATGATGTCATGTAGTCCAAAGTGTACTTCCAGCCATATAATAGTCCACATCCTGGGGGAAATCTGTACATTTATTGCATATTCTAATATTTATTTGTCATTTGCACAATGCAGCTAAAGCTGTAGAGGCTGGAAGAGACATCATGCAATGGGAATAACAGTCTGAAGCAAAGGGAAATGTTCTCTGCAGTCATCCAGCAAAAAAGAGATGTGTGTCAATTAAAAGCAATAATATTATCTGGGATGGAATTTCCCCCAGCACCGTGGGAAAGAAAAATGAAAGTTGTGACAATGAGAGTTAACAATAGATTGGACTGCAGTATCCACAAGGGTGGGAAGCGGTTCCTACCCAGCAAAGTTTCCCCTAGCCAGCCACTCCCTTTCTTCATCCTCTCCTAGCATTTGCACGCAGCTATTTCTGACAGCCCTCATTCTTTTGCAGCTTAATTCCAGAAAGAGCGTCTTTCCCACCCAGTTTACTGCATTGCACCACCGAGTGGGGGAAAGCGCTACCCTCACTAGGATGCTCTTCTAATCCACCTCTCCGATCTGCTTGTCTTGCTCCCTCCCATCCCCTGCAACAATTAGGCTGAAATACACTGCAGTGGCAGAAGCTCTCCTCACCACCACCCCCTTCCCTCCCAGGGTGCTTGCAGCTTTGGAGGTGACAGATCATGCCAGAAAATAGATATTAGGTACGTGAGGGTTTTTTATCATAAGAGGTCAGGCTAGAATTCCTAGCCACCATGCTTTGATTTGCAGCATTGTTGTGAAATGGAAATGTACACACTTTTGCAGCCGTCGTATTGTTGCTTTGAACTACAGCTAAAGGCTCTTGAGATGAAAATAGTGGGGTTTGCGGACATCCAATAAGTACCCCGTTGGCATCTTGTAAGTAGGTTGCTAGAATGAAAACTGGAGAGGGCGTCTGTACTGTGTAGAAGAGGGGATTTCAGCAGGTGCTACTTATTACCTGGTTACATGACAGGCAACATATGTTGAATTTCAGCCTCTGCTACACAGCCATTACACACACAGGAACCGTCTCTAGTTTTCACTTGGGCAATCCTACCCATGAGAGATCCTAGTTATATCCCTGTCTACAAGGGATCTAAGTTAAATCTCTACCTATTAGGAATCCAATTACATACCTGTCTACAAAAGATCCAAGTTAAATCCCTAACTATTAGGGATCCCCATCACATTCCTGCCTATAATGGACACAAGTTACATTCTTACCTATAAGGGATCCTAGTGAAATCCCTACCTATTAGGAATCCAAGTTGCGATCCGCCTTGCAATGTCCAGTTCAATTTCCTTTGCTCCAAACCATAAAACCTGGGGAAGTTACTTTTTTGGATTACAACTTCCCAAATCCATCTGCTTGGGATGGGGTGGAGTTGAGTTATAATTCAAAAATGTAATGTTTCTTCATTAAAACCTTGCACAGTGTTTCTGAACCAAGATGGCACATTCCATCCAGACTCCATGAACGATTCTTAGACAGCTTGACTGTGTGTTGTTAAATAGGGTGTGGTAGCAATATTCATTGCAGAAAGACAGTGGACCTGTGGAGCCTATAGTGTAGTTCACCCAGACAGGGATTCTCCAGACATTAGCTCATATCCATGCCATTCAGGAACAGATATACCCAGATTATCAGACCACTCGGTTTTAACCTGATTATAACATGCATTTGCTTTCAGGTCTGACACTACACAGAAACCATTCTCTGCAGCTCTCAGTGAACATCGTCCTCTGAAGCAGTGCCTGGTAACCTGGAAGGTCTTTAACTACAACTCCCATTGGCTCTGCCTAGGTTGCGCAATGATTGCTGGTGATGGGCACTATATCTGAAACCATTTAGAGAGCCTAGGGCAAAGGAGGCTGCTCTAAATAGTTAAAATAAATTTGTCCTACTTTACAGATGGCAGGTCTCTATTTGATGAAAGCCCCGGATTAAATGTCTGTATAAATAGGTCAAGAGAGACAGAGTTGTATCAAGGTTTGAGCAATGGAATATGACTTTGGAAACCAGGGTTCATTTCCTACTCAGTTATGGAAATTCACTGGGCAAGTCGCACACACTCAGCCACAGAAAACATGGTAAGTGTGGAAACTGCTTGAAAACACACAACATTATATAGGTCAACCAGGTTAGCGTTTTTTTAAAAAACATAAAAAGGGAGAACCTTGCCCTTACCCATTACTACAAGTTTACTTCTGGACAATAAACTAAACACAAGACATCTAGTCACAGCCCTTTGCATTTGGGTGAAGTGACCTTTCTATTTACAGTCATCCCTCCACATCGGTGACTTTGACTCCTGGGGCTTTGATACTTCCCAGATTTGATGTTAAATTTTGTCTCTAGGAATTTCTAGATCCTCCAGTATGGCAAATTCTCACTAATCACACTGGAGGACCTAGAGATTTCTACAGAGGTCCTCCAGAGATGTCTAAGGAATCCTCTATGGGTCCTTCAATGTGATTTTATGTTCAGCTTCCAGTGGAAGTGGACAATAGAGTTGTACTGGAAGACCTAAAATTTATTATAAAGGTGTTCTATAAAGTATTCATTATTTAATTCATGTTTTTTCAATTTTACAGGGATCCTGTGTACCTAACCCCAGCAACTGTGGAGAGCCTACTCCAAATCAAACAAATAATTTTTTGAAATATTTCTATTTAAATTGTAGTAATTTCCATATTCTCGTCTATTCATCATATAGTCTAATGGAGCCACGGTGCTTAAATCTTTATGCTGCTGACCTGAAGGTTGGCTAAACTTTATGCTGCTGAACTGCTGATCTGAAGGTTGGCAGTTCGAATGCGCAAGGCGAGGTGACCTCCCATCTGTAAACTCCAGTTCCTGCCAACCTAGCAATTCAAAAACATGCAAATGTGAGTAGATAAATAGGTACCATTTCTGTGGGGAAAGACAAAGAGATGCTCCAAGCAACCTTGACGGCCACATGGGGGAAAAAAAGCTCATCCCAGAGCCAGAGATGAGCACCGCCTCCAGAAAGCCAGAAATGAAAGGAGAAGCCTCCGCCTTTGTTTGTATGTCTCATTTGTATTTGAATCAAAGGCATTGAATATTTGCCTACGTGAATACTGTAATCAGCTCTGAGTCCCCTAGGGGAAAAGGGTGGAATATAAATAAAGTGTATTATTATTATTATTATTATTATTAACACAGTGATTCTTAAACTATGGGTTCTGACCTCAAATCAGGTCTCCTTAGCTCAGTGATGGGGTTGCAAAAAATCTGGCTACAGTAAAAGTTTTCTGAACATTACCTAGTAGTTGTTTTAGACATTTACACAAATCTGTTGTGCAGTGTTTACAATGGGCTCTGCAGAAGATGCTTCAGCTGTACTTCATATAAAAGAAAATCAGGCTGTTTAGCAAATGGTAATTTGTTATCAGCAAATATTTGATTATTTTATATGGTATCATGTAACAAGCCCATAGCCAGAAATAAATTGGGAGGGGTTGAAACCTTTTTTCCGAGAAGACTTTTCAGGTCAGTGTCTCCTGATCTGGCAAAAGATCCCAACATTTGCATCACTGCGCAAAGGTTCTTTACAGGTAATAGATCTTGAATCAATGCTCCCTCTTTAAGTCAGTTCTTGTCGGCCACAAAGGACAATAGTTTCCACAATAAGTTGAAGTTACTTTCTGTTTTCTTCTGCTTTCTTCTTATTTCCTTTATCATGATGACAGGTTGCATCAAAATGTTTTCCACTGTGAATTAGCAAGAAGTCTTCAGTCAAGCACAAGTTGTTCTGATGGTACTCTGTTTTTTGATGTCTATTGAAGACTTCTGTTGCATATTTCCATCCTCCCAATGGTTTAGCAACCAATGCACCAAGCTTCTAATGACCACCTTTACCCACAACTTCTCCTCCAAACACCACACCATATTTACACAGGGTACCTTGTACATGAAATGAGTAGGCTAACCAGGGAAATCCGCTGAACCATTTGGGTTGAAATCTTAGATGTGTCTTCTTATCCTCAGGAAATACATATCCTGGCAATGGGCTCTGTGGATTTTTCACTGCTGCTGCTCCAGTTTGAAAGCCATGACTTTTAAACTAGAAGAAAAGAGATTTCTCATAAACATGAGGAAGAACACATGAGAAAGAACACTGTTCAACAGTGTTGTCTCGGAGTGCAGTGGAGACTTTTAAACGGAGGATGGGTGGCCATCTATCAAGAGTGCTTTGATAGTGTAGAATGGGATTGGACTGGATGGGCCTTGTGGTCTATTCCAGATCTAGGATTCTATGATATTAAACCCTGATTAGGACCTCTATTGTAAATTATGCATTTTTTTCTACTCTGATCTTGCAATGACATGGCCATGACTTCCTTGATAGAATCAATCCAACTATAGCATGGCCTCCCTATTTTTTCTATTGCCTCTTTCTATATATCACAATTTTTTCTCATGTGGCATGTCACCTCCTGATATCCTCTTTTTGGGCAAATTGGCTGTTGAGTTAAGTCAGGCACCATTTATACATCTCTTATTTTGTTGGAATGCATAAACGGTTGTCTTGACTTTACTCCTTAGCGGGAATACTGGGAATTTCCAGGGAGTATCTTGGAATAAAGAAAATGCAATGTGGTTCTCCAAATTAAAATTGGTTTGTATAGGACAAACCTTGAGACTTTTGGAGATCATTTCCCCTTAAGTTCTTTGCTTTTATCCGCTGTTTGTTTCCCATAGGATAGGTTTCAGCAAGCCACAATGCTTTGCAGGAAACCATTTTATTAATAAAATTGGTGGAATGAGCAGATTACTGGATCCTAGACAGGACTCTGCAACCCTTTATAGATGTTGTATATGTGACTTGCTTCAATGGTCCATGTGTACAGGCAGTCCCCAAGTTACAAACATCTGACTTACGAACAACTCATAGTTAAGAACAGGTGAGACCACAGAAAATGAGAGAAATATACCCCTTGAAAGGGAAATTCACTCCTGAAAGGGTTATCATGGGGAAAAGAAGTCTCCACTGAAATTTTATCACCAATCCTTGTTTCCACAATTAAGCCAAAGTTTACACAAGCACACACACGACTGGAGGTACACTTAAAACATGTGCCTGTTCAGACTTACAAACAAACTCAACTTAACCAACTTACAGAACTTCTCTTGTTTGTAACTTGGGAACTGTCTGTATAGGTTTGCATCCTTGACATTGACAAATTATCTCTCATAATCCAGAACACAGAGTTGGATGCTTTAGTTGGAAGAGTGCAAATGTGTATGCAATGGCACATCTTTAATCAATTTCACTTTTAATCAATCTTTCTGAATTGTATGTTGCATTAGATATTCTGTAGCTAATTCCTACAATCAAGAGAATCTAAGCTCATGCATAGTTAATAAAGCTTTGTGTCCTCCCTCTGCTTTCTTATTTTGTATTAGTGCCACCCCAGAGGTCTTCCTCGCTCTCTCATCTATCAGAAAATCATGAGCAAGACAAGGCATTCACGGGCCAGAAATAGTTTATCTCAGAAAAGGCATGATTTTGGAGAGCAGTTTATTGCTATTTGGTAAATATTGTCATTTATCTGGTACATCTCTGGTTATATAAAACAGTAATACAGCATGGCCCCCTTATCAGATAGTGAATTCATAGGGTTAAATGCAGCAGTTCATTTTTGAAAAGTTGTGTATCTCAGCTGTCTTGGCATAGCATCCACTATTTTTTCAAATAAAAGAAGTCAGGATTTCTTTTTCTTTTTTAAACATCCATAAGCAATGCGATCTCTTCGGTGAGGCTTTAATTACACTTGATAGCGGATAGCCAGGTCAATAGGTTTTAATTATGAACTCTTGAAAAACATTGAAGCTTTCCTCTTTGTTAACTGATGATCAAATAAGGAGATACCAACCAGGCCTCGGTATCACACACCTCAAGCCAGATAGAGGCAACATGTTTAAGAGATTCTTTCTTATGTCTGTGTACTACGGCTGAATCCAATGCAGTTTCCCTGGCTGTGTACTATACCCTGAAATGCTAGATAAATACCACATATTCTCATGTATAAGTCAACCGCATGGATAAGTCAAGGATAGATTTTGGGGCCTGTGGATAAGTCAAGGTTCATTCAATTATTTTTATTATTTTTATTTATTGTGTCAGAAGCAATGTGAGAAACTGCAAGTCTCTTCTGGTGTGGGAGAACTGGCTGTCTGCAGAGACATTGCTCAGGGGATGCACAGATGTGTTACCATCCTGTGGAAGGCTTCTCTCATGCCCCCACATGGGAAGCTGGAGCTGACAAATGGGAGCTCACCCTGTCTCACGGATCTGAATCACCGACATTCAGGTCAGCAGTTCGGCCAGCACAAGGGTTCAACTCATTGCACCAAGAAGTGGAGAAAACATCAGTCCTGGGCCACTGCCGCCATTTAACTTCTCAAACAGGCTAGAAGTGGTGCCATTGCAGAGAAAGTAGAAGAGGCTGGTGCTTCTTTTAGGTTCTCTGGAAAAGGACTAAGCTCCCACCTTTCACTACTCTACTCGGAGAAAGGGATGGTTCCTTTTTCAAATAAGAGTTAAGGTACAGTATTTATAATGACCCATTAATAAGTCAGCTCAGTTTTTTTTGGGTTGATTTCTTGACTGAAATTTCTAGACATATACATGAGTACATACGGTAGTTATAGTTATGCTGAATTAGCTTCCTACAGTTGTTTACTAATGCTTGCTCTAATATGTTTTCTAGACTGTATCATACATTGAAATGCTGGAAACATGGTTATATTTACACTGAAATTAGGTCTGCTGGATTATATAATGATATATAATGACTCCCAAACTCTGCAATATTGATGATGAGAAATGTACCTGAACTGTGTGATGTGATTATGCTTCTCTCAGAGTGTGTAGATATAGAAATTGTACTGGTTGTTTCAATAAATAGCTAGAAACATTATGGACTATTTGTTTATTCTCCCATCATAAAAACACCCTGAAGATCTCTAAAGCCTAGGGGAGTTTTAATGGAAATACTGGTGGTTTTTGGCCTACAGGACAATGTAATTGCTTGTAATCTTGGGAATTCACGTGGACAACAAGGAACTCCAGCTGGATGCAAGTTAGCAGACAAGTGGCAAGGAACCTTCAAACCCTCAACAAAATATAAGGTGTTGTGTGAGACCAAGAGCCAGACCAATTTCACCCCTTTGACATTAATGGCAGTTGTGCTCTTCTAAAATCTCATTCAATAAGAGGCAGTAGGACATATCCTTTTTCAAATGTAAAGATTTCCCCCCCTGTGTAACATTTCTCTTTTTTCCAAATAATTTTTATTAAGTGCTAGTAAAGTAGGGGATGGAGGAACAAGGGGAGGGAAAGGAGAGATTTGGGGATTATAGATTAATTATTGTTTAGTTGCATCTTTAGAAATGTGAAACATTTCTCCAGAAAACCTCTCATGCTGTTCTGCAGGAATGTTCTTAAGAAACAGATATTTCAAAACCCTTTTCAATCCCACAGGGTCTAGTGCCTATATTTCAGGACTGGATAAAATGCAAAGCAAAGGTTACTTGCTGTTTTGAAGTTGTTGTCTAATGCACAGATGACATCACCTATATTTATTTCAAATCTGTCACTCTGGGTAATTAGACACTTAGGACTTCATCATACAAAGGAGGCAAACCAGCATTAAAGCGTGACTGTAACCAAAGTCCCTACTGCAAGATACCATTTGCATCCCATTATTGGTCTGCCTCTTCCCTGCAATTAACTCATCCCCTGCTATTGGTGGGGAAATCTCATCAATAGCTGGTAATTGTGCCACATACACATCACTTACTTGGTGAGACTGACCAGTTCTACTTCTGTGCAGTACTTTTTTTATTTTCAGTAGTATTTGAATTTTTTTAATTCACCATATGAAGGAGTGTGAAATTGCCATAGATGCAGGTAAAATGTCAGGAGAGAATGCTTCTAAAACATGGCCATATTGTCCAAAAAACCGACAAGTTACCTGAGTTACAACATATGACTTTACAAATGACTTGCATCTGACTTAACTAACAATCAGAGTGAGAAAAATCTACCCCTCAGAAGGGAGATCCACTCCGGAAAGAGTTATCATGGGGAAAAGGTGTCTCCACTGAAGCTTTATCTCTAGTCCTTGTTTTCACAACAAACCAAGTTTTTCAAAATGCAATTATCACAGGGACTGAAAGTGGGGTGAAATATTCTGAAGGGGAGGAGGATGGACGGACAAACAAACCCATAGGGGTATTAACCCTTCCTATGCTATCCAAAATAGGGTTACACTTAAAAATGTACTTGTTCTGTCTTACATACTAACGTAACTTAAGAACAAACCTACAGAGCTTATCTTGTTCACAACTTGAGGACTGCCTGTACATACTTTGACTTGTATATATATAGATATAGATATTCCACTTTCCTCACTTAAAAGAGGCTCAAAATGGTAATGTAGCTAGCCAGTATTGGTGCTAACATAAGCTTGTGCAATAATAATGATAATGATAATGATAATGATAATGATAATAATAATAATAATAACACTTTATTTATATTCTGCCCTATCTCCCCAAGGGGACTCAGGGTGGATCACAGTACACATACGCAGCAAACATTCAGTGCTGTTTGGTCAGACAGTACAGAACAGACAGAAAGGATGAATGTTGTGTCAATGTCCAGCTTTTCAGCACCTTTGGAGGTTGTGCTCAAATCCAGCCACGGGGGATGCTGTCGCTCCATCCTCTATGACAGAGAGCCATTGGGACTTTCTCCTTGTTTTTGGTATTTTTCTTTTATGGTGTCGTAAAATACCTCCCCCACTTTTTAGCGGTACTTAATTTCTCTAGTTACAGCTCTAACCTGTTTTGGAACTGCTTAGGTAAACAGTGAGCTGGGCTGAGAGTCGGGTGCTCACTCTGACCAAGGCTTCAAACTGGCAACCATTTGGTTGGTAGATCTTATTGCTGCTGATAGTGATTTACCAGCTGTGCTATAGCCTGGCCCATAAGGACAATAAGGGCCTTAGTTGTAAGGCTGCAAATCTTACTGAAGGAAGACATACTTGCTGCCACTGTGTTATGGGACACTCTGGCATTCCCTGTTTTACTTTCTCTCTAGTTTAAGTACGCAAGTGCATATACTTTGCTCTAGAAAAGGATGCTGGGCTGGAAGCAGAGAAATCAAGTTCAAATGATAGTTTGAGTTTGGTCTTACACTTCTTCTAATTAGCTCCAGCAAATCTCATAAGATCTGGACAATATGTAGATGGAAGGAAATGAGTGTCTGTAAATATCTTCAAGCATGCTATCTATGCTCTTCATGTGGGGATCCCTCAGGTGTGAGATGCTTTTCTAGAGAGAAAGAGAAGGTTAGGTGGGGGAAGGGCCAGAAAGGCATTGCAAATTAATTGTAATTGAAAAGAAGTGGTGATTTAGAATGATCTAGGGCAGGATGGAAATTAATTGAAGATTTTATTTTAAATGGGATGATTTGGAAATGAAATTAATTGGCTGACTTTGCCCCCTGTGAAATTTAAACACAGCCTAGTAATTATTTTTAAATTTGAGCACACACTTATAAATTAGCATATGTAAATTTTATGCAGATTTGTGTCCCATAAATCTGGGACCTGAATCTTTTAACTGCCTAGCAACGCTGATGGTCCTAGCAACCAGAAGTAAAATAGGCAATCTTTGTCATTCACAGTATGTATTCCTGTGTTGTTTGGGGAAGTGTTAAAAGCCCATTACCCCATTATCATGGGGGCATTTGCCCAAGCCTTTTGCAAAGTGTCAAGTTAGAGAGTGCCGTTTTCTTCAAATTTTATTTCTATCTGTCCTATCTTTAGATGCTGAAATGCAATAGGAACTTTTAAAGGGAGACCCTAGCATGGAACTGATAGATTGCAATTTATCAGAAAAGTAGGTCAAAAGTAACAAAATTAATTTCAGCAAAGATAAATATAAAGTACTACATTCAGACAAGAAAAATGCAATCTACTAAACTTCTCAAATGGAATCCAGGGTCTGACTAGAGTCATAGAATTGAAAAATACCTTGTGGGCCACCCAGTCCAACCCTCTGCCAAGAAGCAGGAAAATCGCATTCAAAGCACCCCCAAAAGATGGCCATCCAATCTCTGTTTAAAAGCCTCTGGCTTTTAAACAGAGATTGGATGGCCATCTTTTGGGAGCCTCCACCACACTCCAGGGTAGAGAGTTCCAATGCCGAACAGCTCTCTCTCACAGTTAGGAAGACCTCACCTCTGAGGATGCTTGCCATAGATGCAGGCGAAACGTCAGGAGAAATGCCTCTAGAACATGGCCATATAGCCCCGAAAAAAACCCACAAGAACTGAGTTAGGAAGTTCTTCCTCATTTTCAGGTGGAATCTCCTTTGCTGTCGTTTGAAGCCATTGTTCTGCAACCTAGTCTCGAGGGCAGCAGCAAACAAGGCTGCTCCCTCTTCCTTATGACTTCCCCTCACATATTTATACATGGCCCTCATTTTGTCTCCTCTCAGCCTTCTGTTCTGCAGGCTAAGCATGCCCAGCTCTTTAAGCTGCTCCTCATAGGGCTTGTTCTCCAGACCCTTGATCATTTTAGTCTCCCTCCTCTGGACACATTCCAGCTTGTCAACATCTCCCTTTAATTGCAGTGCCCATAATTGGACACAGTATTCCAGGTGTGGTCTGACCACATATACATATATAGGCTTTGAGATTCCAAGCACTTGTTCTTTGAATGGATGGCTCTTTGTTCATGCCATATACACATAGGTCAGAAGAAGCAAGGATTGGACTAAAATTCCTAGAGAGCTATAAGAGTCATTTTTCTTCGCTTTGCTCAGAGGACACCATAGGGTTGCCATATCTCAGGACTTGGAATTTTCCCTACAATCCTCAATGAAAAGAAGATAAATCTTTCAGCAAAAGCACTTCCTTGAAAAGTGTGTGTGTGTGTGTATATATATATATATATTCTCATTTGCTAGTCTTGTTTTTTTTATCTGAATGACACCCTCTGTGCAACTGTGATTGAAGTTTAAGTTGTCATGCCTAATGACCTAATAACATATGTTAATATCAGTGAAATATGTTTAGTAATATAATAATTCAAGGTGCTTCTCTTTGTAACATTTCTTAGAATATCACAAGGAACTATATGATTCAGATTTTGAGCTGGGATAATCCTTACCCATCTACTCGTTGATGGAGCTCCCGGTAGCACAGTGGGATAAACCCTTGTGCCAGTAGGATTGCTGACTGACAGTTCAGCGGTTCAAATCCAGGAAGAGCAGGTTGAGCTCCCTTTGTCAGCTCCAGCTTCCCATGCAGGGACATGAGAGAAGCCTCCCACAAGGGTGGTAAAACCTCAAACATCCGGGCATCCCCTGGGCAACATCCTTGCAGATGTGAATTCTCTCACAACAGAAGTTACTTGCAGTTTCTCAAGTTGTTCCTGACATGAAAAAAAGACTAGTTGGTAGTGAGTAGATCCAGAACCCAAAGTGGATAAAGTCAGACATTTCTTTCATTTTCCATCCTCCAACATTTCACATATAAAAATCAGGTCATTTGTGGCCAAACAACATTTGAACGTGGTCAAGATGGTAAAAGTTATTAAGGAGGAACAATGTAGAGGCTACAAGAGGTTGCAGTAGTTTGCTTTTGCCTGAGCACTACTAGGAAGGACAGAATTCAATTTCTTCTCTACTTCTGCTGAATGCATTGTGTGTAAATTTTGCATTTTGAACTCAATTTGCAGCAAGGACAGTACGATAATTTGAGGTCAAAGGGAGAAAGTGGGAGAAGGAGAAACTTGGAAACTTTAAAAGTAGCTGAGAAAGTAGGAAGGGAGAGTTAACACTGGGACTCTCCTGCCATATCAGGACAATCGGAGGGTATGTGCCTTATCCGATCTTTCTTTTCT